TAACAAAATTTTTGAGACTGGGTAATTTATGAAGAATAGAAGCTTATTTTGCTCATTCTCTAGAGGCTAGGAAGGTCAATAATGAGGTCCTGGCATCTGCTTGGCATACTGCATCATAGCATCGTGGAAAGCATGATCATCAGCTGAAGTTTCTCTGACTCTTCTGGTAAATCCACTAACGTCATCATGAGGACCTTACTCATGACCTTATCTAATAGTAATTCCCAAAGACCCCACCAGATACCAACAACATATGAATTTTGGATTAAAAGTGTCCAACATACACACTTTTGAGCCAATTAACTCCATAGTAGGTGGCACACAGGGTCATTGATGGACTACTAGTCCTGGTCTGACCATCACTGGCGCTCTGGCAATACTGCCTCCATCTTCTTGAGCTTTCCTCTCCACCCCCATCATACCCTCTGTTCTCAAGAACATTCTAGCTAGGACTGACCCTATAAAGGGTGTCCGTAAAAAATAGGGGCAGACCCTGTGGAGAGTCCTCATAAGAACTGTCATTTTATATAGAAGTTGAAAGTGTCTTGTTTTTCCGTAAAACATAATAAACAGTGGAGTTATGAGATTCTTGGGTTATGTGTATGAGCTGAGTGGTTTTCCAAAAACATGTTAAGTGGCCTCTTGCCTGCAGGATGGAGGCATAAAACTCTCCATTTTCTAGTGAACATGATGCTCTGGAGGGAGGCATCCTTTGCAGAATCCCAAGACCCACCATCTTACCCCTCCCAAACCCCTGTCCCTCAGCCAGCAGTTAGTAGAATATTCCAGCATTCTGGCTATATGGGAGAGGCAAACATGAGACTCTGCTAATGCTCACTGTTTCCCTGGTCCTTCCCAGGACACTTGGGTATCCTGGTGAGGCAAAGCTTCAGCTGCCTAGGAGGAGAGAACTATGGCCCTGCTTCTTTGCAAGCTAGAGGCCTCAGAGCAGAGGAAGTCTGGGTGGTAAATCCTAACTGCTCCACATGGGGCATGCAGGAACTGCTACTATAGGTAGTGCTGCCAGGTGGTGATGTCCTGAAGTTGTGGGTCTTGGAGGACATGCACAGCTAGGAATGGGGCTTTATGATGGGGAAAACACTAGCACCAACAAGAACGAGCTCAGCATTGTAATAAGATAATCAGAACTTACGGGAAGATGATGAGAACTTCCTCCAAATGATTTTTTTCTTCAGGATCAAGCTACAGAGGAGCTGCAACAGTCTTGGATTTTGTGGGGTTCAAGGGGTGTCTGTGGGCCCTGGGTTTGTCTTGGTGTAGCACATTGCCGTTAAGCCCCTGTGGAGAGGAGCTGAGGTGTTGAGAACCTCCCTGAATTAGTGCATTCTGAACTTTTTGAGCAAGGACATCACAGCAGCAGGAGGAAACACAGAAAAGCCTCTTACTACAGAAGCAAAATGAGTTGTCAGGATACAGCCAAGTGCTTCTCTGTGTAAGGGCCCTTCGTTGTGCTTGGATAGTCCATTTCAAGAAGTCAGTCATGAATTCTTATTGCTTAGGGGCAGATGCTGTTATTTCTCTGGCAGGATTAGAAACACCCTGTCTTCAACAGCAGTTGATTTGCCCTCATTTCTGGAACACTCCTCCCCGTGTGATCTTGGATTGTTAAGGCAGAAGGAAGAAGGTGTATTGTACCTCACCCAACTCCCAGGATAAGAGGATGCAGTATGGTTATCTGTAAGGTGATGTGTGCCTCTGGCAAGTGGTGCTGTTCATTGTGTTGGCCACCATGATAATAGAGAGACTGGAAATCCATGCCATGCTCACAGTTTATACTTGGTCCCATATATCCTGGAAGGCATAGCCCAGGATGCTGGCACCTGAATTTCCTGGTTTTGAATTTGGAGATTTAAATTTCAACTTGGAGCCACAGGGCAGCTGAGACACCACTCCCAAGGAAAGAATTCCATTGGCTCGGCCCCTGGCGTTATGTTTTCCATTATCATTCCATAGTGATGGAAAAAGAGAGACATGTAGAGGTACCAGTAGATATGCCTGGTTCTGGTAAATTGAAGACATCTGCCCAGTTAGCTTTCTGTTACTGAGAAAACACTGACCAAAACCAACTTGGGGAGGAAAGGGTTTATTTGGCTTCCATGGCTTCCATGCCCCATCACAGTTTGTCATTGAGGGAAGCCAGGGAAGGAACTCAAGACAGGAACCTGGAGGCAGAAGCTAAAGCAAAGACCTTGGAGGAATGTTGCTTACTGGCTTGCTCTTCTGGCCTGGACTCAGCCTGCTTTTGTATACAAACTAGAATCACCTCCCCAGGGGTGGCACCACCCACAGTGGGCTGGGCCCTCCCACATCACTCAATTAAAAAAATGCCTCACAGACTGGCCCACAGACCAGTCCAATAGAGAAAATTCCCCAATTGAGGTTCCCTCTTCCAGGTATGTCAGGTTGACAACTGAAGCTATCCAGCACAGCATCATAGTTGTTTTACTCAGAGTACTGCAGGGCAGGGTATGAAACACTACCCTGATCTGGGAGACCAGCTCCCATGTGTTCAGGGTGCCCCAGGTAGCTGCAGGTCTGTTCTTTGAGAAGTCCTTTTGAGTAATTCACTGGATAAAGCCATAAATCATAGAGAAACAGCTGTCCTAGTTAGAGGAAACATTTCAAAGCAAATAACAGAGCGAAGATCACAGGGGTTTGGAGCCGAGTAAGTTTTCACACCCTTCCCCAGAGAAACAGAAATTTGTAATGGAAATGCCACAGGAAGCTGGGCAGGGCAGATCTGAAGACATCAGAAGTGTCCAGCCAGACTGCTAGTGCAGTGTGATGAACACTTGCCCTGCCAGGGAGAACAGAGACAGGCAAGAGGACGCAGCTCCTTCTCTCGGGGAAAGGTGCCTCAAGGCTTTAGTGGCTGTTGTAACTCCCAGAGGTATTCCCAGCAGTGCTTCTCCCACTAGTGCCTCCCAGAAGATTCTGGTATCTGCTTTGATTCGTTGCTGGATTGTGGATTCCCCTGCCAGGCCTGATGCCAGACATTGTCCCAGTGGGAATGGGGTTCACACTTCAGTTGTGTGTGTCCTGCCTAGAATCCAGCCCATTATGGAGCTTGGCGAAGGATGCAGTCACTTGGATGACATGCTGTGTCTACTCCTGCCCAGCTGGCCTGAGGAAGTAGGGACTGGGCTTCTATCCAGGTGACCTAAGAATCTGACGCTGTCCACACTGGTCCACACTTCCTGCCTGATATTCCTCTCCTGTGAATTTCCTTGACCCATGGAACTCTGCTCTTTCCTTCTGAGTCTCAGGTACCCTCCCAGGTCCCACGAATATGTCCTACTGACCAGCAAAGGCTCACCTGTAGTTTCCAGACACTCACTTGGCTGGAATGCCCCATGCCTGTTCCAGAACCTCCAGGGCACCTATAGTAGCACCTGGAGTTATGCTACCCAGGAACCATGTGGGCCCCAATCCCTAAATAGCTGCCATGGCAAATGAATATGCTGTCCCTGCTTGTACTCAGAACCCCTCCACAGTTTCTGTTTGGTGAGGAGGATGCAGAGAGGCACTGAGCTCCATGTTTCATTCTGTGCTGTCCAAGCTGGGTCTACCCCAAGGGCCAGCTGGCATTTATTTACTCAACAGTTTCTACTTGAAAAGATGAGAAAGAAAGCACAGCACCTTGCAGGCCTAGCGTCTACTTGTGGCATTTGTTTAACCTATCTTATGATAATCCCAAACTGATTCTAGCATCATGTTTTCTTTCTAGCTACTCTGTACACATAGTAAAGAGCTCTCACACTTTCCTTCTGTTAAAGATTTGCCAATTCCCTTACAGGTATGAATTTCAACTGTTCCAAATACAGCCACTGAGGAACATCATAAATGAAATGTCCTCCAGTAGTACAGTTGGGGACACTGTCTCTTGTGTACAGATAACTGGCCTGTCATCAACCTGAACCTCACTAGACCCCCAAACAGGCACAAGGACCTCTTCTTCCCTCTGGTACCCAGCAGGGCTTCTTGGCTCATAGGTCCACCCCTCTCAGTATGCTGAGGTACCCCATTCTTGTGCCATTAGGCCATTGCACAGCCCCAAGAGAGACCTGGTCCCACTGCCTAGAGTTTTCATTTCCATTAATCACAAGTTGCTCATGGGCTAGGACCCTGATCTTACTTTTCCGGATACATGCCACTCCAGACCAGACATTTGTCAAAGGCTAACATTACTGTGGAAAGCACCTTCTATTTTGTAGAATGGAAGGAGACATGGGAAGGAGTTGCACACTGAGCCATTGCTGAATGGCTTAAGATGATAGGTTACTGACCCCTCAAGACCCGTTCAGATTTGGACAGCCTGAGTTAGAGCTGGAAAGATCTATGGCTTATGCCAACCTGAGTAGACTCTTAGCTACCAGAATCAACATGGTTAAGAACATACATTATGTCACAGGGCTCAAGTTCCCCACTGGGGCCAGCAGTTGCAAGACTGCCAAGAAGTGTCACTCCTTCACTGTACTCAGTGTGATATACAGGCTGCCAGCCATAGGCACTCCATGGAAATTAGTGCTCCAGTCTGGATCAGCTCCAGTGACACAGTCTACAGCCAGGACTGGGGAGCTTGCCCATCTGTCCTGCACCATGGGAGCCTGCTGTGGTCCATGCAGGATTAGCAGGTCTAGCCAAAGCTGGCCTTTGTTTCTTGGCCTTTTGTCCCACTTCTCCAAAGAGCTTGTACCCAGAAAGGGCAAGCCACTGAGAAGGATGAGGGTCAAGGTTGAACGTCCTCCCCCTACCTTCTGTGCCTTTGAGTGATCCCAGAATCTTTTTCAGTGAAGCCCGCAGAGGGTGTTGCTAGTTTTCTGAACAAACCCATGGTAGAAGGCACAGGGATAAAGATCTGATAGTGTGAACACATCGTTTTCTAAGTGGAAACTTAGAACAGGGCTGAGAGGCAGAGAACAGGATGCAGGGTGTCTGATAGTGACATAATGAAGCTCCTTCTCCTTTTCTCCATCTAGCTCAACGACTCTGCCAAGCAGCTCATTGAGATGGACAAGCCATGCTCTGCTGCTGCCACTGCATACAGCTGTGATGCCCTCTTGTCCTCTGACTCCAGCACGGTGGCTAGTGTGGCCTCCGGTCCCACCCTAAGTAGCTCAGGGGCAGTCAGTGCCTTTCAACGGCGTGTGGACAGCAAGAAGAATGCCAAGAAGCGCCACTCCTTCACTGCACTCAGCGTGACACACAAATCCTCACAGGCTGCCAGCCATAGGCACTCCATGGAAATTAGTGCTCCGGTGTTGATCAGCTCCAGTGACCCACGTGCTGCAGCCAGGATTGGGGAGCTCGCCCATCTGTCCTGCACCACACCCACCCAGGTAATATGCATAGTCCGGGCCCAATGTCTAGGGATTCCCTGAGGGCCTATGCTCATCTCTGTGCCTAGCAACCTGGATTCCTGAACTTTAATATAGGAGGCCACCCTGGAACTGCTGGGGTTCCTCATGGCACACCATTAAGCACCAAGAGCCCAGGAAATATGTGGACAGTGGCCTTTATGTATGATGTGACTGCCAGTAGCTCCAGGACATGGCCTTGGAGTAACATCCAGTCACCTTGAAAGTTCTTCACTTCTTGACACCAGTATGTTTGTCCCGGGAAGAGACTTAGGACATTTTGAGCATCTTTATAAAGTTCCTTTCAGCAGAGAAATAGCCAGAGCTCAGAACCAGAATTAGCTGTATTGTTTAGTACTATTATTTCTATAGATCCTTTTGTATATGAACAGGACATTGATTTTATTTCTACTAGTTTCTTTGTAAATAAAGTAACCAAAGTCAGAGCCTAAGAGAACATAGAGTAAGTAATGATCTGAAGCTCCAGGAAACCTGTCAAGCTGGGAAAGTTTCTCCTTTATGAATGCCAGGAAAGGAGGAAGGGGCTCTCCAGGAACAGACTGTGGTGACAATGCACCTACAGTCCTGTGCCATCGACTTTCCAATGAGACTGGGGAGCAGGTGATGTGCCTCTGAGGGTGTGGGCCCCTGTCCTCCCAGCCCAGCCTACCCCACGACGAAGCACCTGTGTGGGAGGGCCCATTCCTGCTCACTCTGCACCATACCCAAGGTTCACCTGCCAACCCCATGTTACTTTTTCTCCAGGGTCACAGGGTCACTCCTGACTGTCCTCGACATACCACAGAGGAATGGCACCACTAAGCAACTGGATTTTCTTTTTCAAAATCCAAGTTAACTCAAAATTTATGTGGAGAATCCCTTTTAAAAATAAAATACTAAGGCAGGAGTGGTGGTGCACACCTTTAATCCCAGCACATTGGAAGCAGAAGCAGATGGATCTCTGTGTGAGATTGAGGATAGCCTAGTCTACATAGGGAGTTCCAGGCCACAAGGGGCTACAGGAAGACCCTGCCCCCCCCCAAAAAAAACCCACAAACAAAATAATAAATAAATTACTGAACTTCTGGAGAATTTCAGTTTTATTAGATATGTACTACATCAGCTTAAAACTGCCCCTGCATATCCACACAAATGTACACCCATCCACACCACATGCATACAAACATATATCCATGGACATGTAATATTCACTTGTGTCTGTTCTCATTCTCAACTCTCTGTCTCTTTCTCTCTGTGTTTCTTACCCCCCTTTCCCCGACCCCTACATTGTGTCATTTTTTTTAACAGCACAAATACAATTCTGGTCTCATCCCAGGCTGAGGCCACAGTCCACAGTGCACTGTGGTGTCTGGAGTGTCTGCTGGTCATGCCCTGACCTGCAAACTCCTCTACTTGGCCCATGTTGCTCAGGAAACAGTCCTTAGGGCTTGTTCTAGTTTGCTTTCTGTTGCTAGAATGAGCACCATGAACAAAATCTTAGATGAGGAAAGAGTTTATCTGGTTCACACTTCCAGGTCACAATCCGTCACTGAGGGAAGTCAGGGCAGGAACTCAAGCAGAAACCGAAGCAGAAACCATGGAGGAAGTCTGCTCACTAGCTCTCTCTTTGGATCCTATATAGCAAGCTTTCCTATATAGTCCAGGTCCACCTGCCTGGGGATGGTGCTGGCCACAGTAGTCTGGGTCCTCCCACATCAGTCATCAGTCTATCTCTCACAAGCAATCTGATCAAGGCAACTCTTCAATTAGGATTCCTCTTCCCAGGTTGTGTCCTGTTGACAATACTAACCAGCCCAGGCCTGTTGACATGTTTTTTATAAACGAGAAGGTCCTACTTGAGTTGACCCTTTGTCCACCCTTTTGTCTGGAATAATCTCCTCAGGCTGTTGATAGTTTGTGAGTTCCTATGAGGGGCACAACAACTGGTAATGGCCAGACCTGCTCCCCAAACAAGTGTGTGTCAACAGCAGCATCATGGGTGGACAGAAGGATAGCCTGCAGTTCCAGGTCCATAGTAAGTGGCTCCATTTCTGGCTCTACTAAGTGACCCGCAGAAATCAGACCTTGCTCCCTCACAATTGAGCATGTCTGTTCAGGCTGTGACTCAGGGCACCTTAATTGACTGATAAGTTCTTGGGCCCTAGGGAGTAGGGAAGAGGGGGAAGACAGGATTGTGAGGTAAGTAAAGATCAAGCTTGTCATCTGTAATCTATGCTGACTCACAGGTATGTGCAGCCCTCTCCTGCCTCCAGGACTTTGGCATGGGCTGTGAGATTCAGAGGTTCTGTGGAATCATAGCTTCTTTCACAGAGGGACGTGGCTGTTGTTGATGATGGATACTGAACCTCCATTAATCATTGGGCTGTGTTCCATAGAAAGGTCCACACAGGCTGTCTTCTAGAAGCATAGCCAGTCACCATGGAGCCCACTCACTGGATACCATGTTGAATTCCACTCATAGCCATGTTGGCCTCATGGGGAGGCGCCCTGATAAAATTTGCTGACAGGGCAATATGCCTTATAAGACATGATTCTGGTAGGTGATGCTGGTAAAAACAGCCTTTATCAGAAATGGCAGCTGAAACCCGAGCTGTCCTTACTGCTAGTTAAGTGACCACATTCTGAAATCCTATGGTGGAAGATGAACAGAATGTGAACCAAATCCACATGTGCACAGAGCATACATGGTGGCTGATGCCAAGTTTGGGAGGCTGGACAGAGGTAAGGACCAGAACCTCCAGCTGATTAAAGGATTTGTTAGTATGACTGATCTGTTTTGTTCTCTCTGGTATTACCTTAAATGAGAGAAAGCATGAGTGCTGTGGGTTCTCCAGTAAGGACTAAATCCCAGGAGGAATTCCTTCGCTTCTCAGAGAGAATGCTGTGAGCACTGTGAAGCCTGAGGGCTCTGGGGCACAGCTGTCTGACTGTGGTCCTCTTCTGAGTGCTCTGTGGATTGCTTCTTCGGCCTGTTTCCATCACTTCTCACCTTCCTCTGCTGTGCAGCTTAGCTTGCCACTCAGGGGAACCACAAAGGTCACCCTCCCCCCTCACTCTCCTTTAGACTAAAATTTGGCTGTGTAGTGGAGGGCTGGGTCAGGGTAGAGGAGCAGGCTTCTCTCTGGCTATATCTCTTTTGGAGAGTTGTTGAGTCTCTACAGTGTGACTGAACACGAGATTGCCCCTGCAACCCTGGAGAACATGCCTGGCTTCATGTTCAGGAGCCTCAGTTTCCTTGTCTGTCAGGCTCTGCCTCACCATCATGGCTATATATAGAATGTGCATAGAATGGACCTGCTGCTCAGGGGATCAGAGCAGAATCAGCAATTTGAGATACAGACTATCTCCCGGGGCTCAGGTAGCCAGTTGATTTCAGGTCTTATTCTGCTCCAGAATTTTCTTTCTGATTAGGTTCTGCTCTGGGCCCCAGACCTTCTGAAAGGTGGAGGTTGTGGATAAGGTGCGAGGGGTACTGAGATCACCTGTTGTCACTCTTCTATCACAGGGAGCTAATCCAGGTTTGCTTAGCATCCTGTAAACCACCAGGCCAGACTGGTCCAGTGCTCCTGCCTTACCAGAGGCATCTGAGGATCTCCCCTGGGAAATATCTCATTATCACCAGGAAATGAGAAGACTAAGATACTCATTCCCCCAGCACAGCATCTTCCCCAAGCACTTCTTTCCTCTTTTAATAAATTTTTATTTTTTGTGAATTTATTTTTCTAAATAATATTTTCACTGATTCTTTGAGAATTTCATACATGATCTTTTGATAATATTCAGACCCCTCCCCCCATCTACTCTCAGGTCCACCCCATCTCTCTACTCACCCTCCCTTCATGTCCTCTGTTGTTTTGTTAAGGCCTGTAGAGCCTAATTTGTGTTTCCCAAGTACACTTGGGTCCATCCCCTGGAGCCTGGTCAAATTACCCTTTGTCACACCTATAAAGAAAACTGACGCTCCTTTCCCAGCAGTTATCAGTTGCCAATAGATCCTCAGCTACAGCTGGGGCTTCTTATCCACATCCCCCATCCATGCTGGGATTTTGTCTGCCTTAGACTTGCGCAGGCCTTGTCAGTGCTGTCACTAGCACTGCGGGCTCATATGTGTAACTACCTGTTGTGCCTAGAAAACATGGCTTCCTTTTATTCATCCACCAACCCTGGCTTTTAGACTCTTTCTGCCACATATATAAAAAGAGTTTAATGGTCCAGCCCAGCTGTAAAGCCTAATAACCACAACGACTGACACAGCAAACCATCTATATTGGTGCAGTAGTGGCACATTTATCTAGGGGGTAATCAGCAGCTTTCTAATTGAATTTAAAGTCTTCTCAATGTGCAGGAACTCATGGGTGGCACTGTAAATATAGCCAGATACACATGGCTGGCGAGGTCATAAATCCCAGAGAAAACCCTATCTCTGTCATATCTCTAGACATGAATTTTTTTTACTGTGTGCTAAATATTTACAGACAAGTATATCATACACCACTCATCAAAAAAAAAAAAAAAAAACTTTTTGCAACAGATGGAGGCTATTACAGAGTTCCACAACTAATCACACACAGAGAATATATGTCTGAGAGATGCCCAGCCCTAAGTCACACATCTACAGTAGAACCTCTACACCTAAGGCTCATGGAACACAGCAGAACAGCGGGTAGAGAGAAAACTAATACATTCCTCAACTCTCACCAGTGAAACTTCCTCATAGAACAGAGTGATGCACACAGAAGGCCACAACTGACTAAGTTTTAGAGAACAATAGACTATAGAGCATGTATGTCCCTGGATAGGACTCCTATACTAAACCTCAACCACCTGTAACTCAGAGACCATTGAGGAAGAAGGGGCAAAAAGGTGATAAGAGCCAGAGTTGGTGCATGAACATAAGGAAACAGATTCTTTCAGACCTCTGGGAACTTGTTCATGAACTTGCAACAATGGCCACAGCATGC